GTCGTCGTTATTACGAAAAATCTGAAATATTTCTGAAGTTATACGTTGTTAGGTAAAATATAATGAACGCTACACGTAAAATACCTTTCATACATAGATATGAGAATTTTCTATTCCATAAAGAAGTTCTCTAATGCATTATCCGAAACTATAAGTTATAGCAAGAAAAATGGCGGGGAGCGTCCGCAGAAAAATTCGAGGCGGGCATTTATTTTATTACGTCAGCTTTAAATATCCGTAATTACTATACATTATTCGTTCTTAATATCGTTTTAACGATGAAATATAAACTGACGTTACTAGGGACCGAACAGCGAAATTGTCGAAATAGATAAAAAAATAACTAGAACTTCTAAAACGCATAGGTAAGTCATTTAAAAACGTCCGTACGTATACATAATTGAAAGCTAAAAGTACGGCTAGCAAAAACATATCTGTGTGGTGAAATTGGTACGATATTTTCAGTTTGAAATCCTTTGAAATAAATTCATAGAATATTTTATATATTTTCTGACCGTACGAGGCTCTATGAATACACTACGCGGCATATAAGTGTATCTTAATATTATTAATATTAATTCTGATATTTTTAAACATTCTAAATACCACGCAGAACATTACGTATTTCCATGTAAATAATAATAAAAGCTCCTAATAAATATATACTATCTCACTTAAATTACTGTCACAAAGTCAAACTTTATTTATGTTATGTAATTCAAGACTTCCAGATAAATTCGTAACTAAATAGTAATTGATACTTGTATTTACTATTTAATATTGGAAAACATAATTAATCATAAGAGAAACTGATACGTATAGGTAACTAAGAACAAGCAAAAATGGGTCGATAGACCATCTTGTTTAAATATTACATGACTTGTGTATTCACTTTGTATTAAGTGAGCCACGCGTATCAAATATTAGACGAACTGTGATTGTTGTTTTTTGTAAAAATAATTAAAATTGCCGCCTTCTCTGTACCTAAGTTAATTGTCAATGTCAATAAAATAACATGTCATCTATTTCGATTGTCAAAATAACATGTCATCTGTTTCGATTGTCAAAATAACATGTCATCTGTTGATTGTCAAAATAACATGTCATCTGTTTCGATTGTTCCCTTTTCAATAAACACTCTCTTCACATTCATTAATAAGTGTCAATTATACTTTTATTTAATTAAATATTCCGGTTTTATTTTAATAGTTTTTAAATACTACAAAAAGGCGTTGGACAAATAAAAACGCGGAAACTTTGCCGGCGAGTGTACTCGTAAGTTTAGAGCGATAAGGTCGTATGTGCGATATGAGCTGCGCGATGTATGTGAATGTGCATTTGTGTGTGTGTACATAGGTTTAAAGCATACTAGATAAATTTATTTAAAATTATTTTAAACGTTTCTTTGGGATCAGGATAGTGTAATGGTTAATAACGCAAATAATAAAAACGCAGTGCAAAATGTTTAAATTCGTTCTACACCCCTTAACATCTAACTGAGGTCCAGTATTACAGTTTGTACTTTACCACCGCCCTAATGGAAGATTATAAATATATTCTACACAAAATAAAACTAAAAATGTATTTAGACAATTGCAAGTAATGTAGTATCTGTTAGTTATAATGTTCCAAAAATTAAGTAAATTTATACAGCAAATTTAGATACGAACGAGAATTACCCATTGTTATAGATACACGTATATCTATAACAATGGGTAATTCTTGTTGTCTAGGGATGCCTTGAAATTATCCAGTTTAGAAGAATTCAGAACCATATATTATTTTACAATATAATTGGTTAGAAGTTGACATTTGTATGTTCATCGTTTCTTTTAAAATCTTCACTTTAACGGTTAAAAACGCGATATGGGGTAAACTTAATTAAAACGTCGGGCCGTAGTTAAATAATTTCAAGTATGTTGAAAGTTTTAAGCCGTTAAAGTGTTTTATTTAAAAACAAATTCCCTTGTCATCGCTGTTTAAAATTTATAATAAGTTTATCTTAGGCATATCTAGTCTAGTGTTCATTTCTGATATCTACGTCAATACTTCATACGAGAAGGTGCAACGCACACAACCTTAGATCGTCTGATGCGCTCTAAGAATATTCCACATTAAAAAGCTATAGAGCAGACACATTTTTGTGACTAAATGTCTATATTAAAAAACTACCTCTACATTGAAGAAGTCTCAATTTTTAAATGCCTCGTATTAAGCGTCTAGTCCTCAATTCGAATAGCGCGGAATCACCGGTAGGTAGGTAGGCTGTGTAATAAAAACAATCATGGAAAAAAATGAACATCTTGTATTTTTTCTCATGCTGCACTCGAGATCAATTTTTTAACTCTTAAAACCATTTTATAGAGACTAGATTATTAATAAACTGTGGTTTAATATTTCAAAGTCTATATAAATATACCTATGATTTTTTGTTATTTACAAGTGTATTCTTCTAAATTCTTCAGTTTATGTACTTTTGAGATAAGTACCCTCTTTTCTTCGACATAAATTAGGCTAAGATCTCTTTGAAGAATGGAAATTTATTTCGACTCCACACCACTCTCTGTTATCTACACATACAAACACACTCTACCTGTGTGCACACTCGTCTTGAGAATAATATATTTTTGTTGCCTTTATATATTTTTTACTGTATTTTTATATCTTACCTCCTTATATCTGAAGTTTTTCTTTAGTTTCGTTCACGAATTTCATATTCATAAGAGATTTTAACGTACAAAAATAACATGTCTTTGATACGTCCATGAAAACATAATGAGATGTTTTCAAAAGTAGTGCATAAAGAATTTTGTGATGTTTAAATTAATTTTTATTTTACTCTGTGCTTCATTTACAATGGGGTATATTAAAATATATAGCAATATAAGATTATAGTATTCAAAATAAAGCAAAAAACACGCTTTATAATGAATAATACAATGGAAATGGTGGTCATATAGCTTGAAGCGGTGTCTACCACGTTATCTAATAAGAAGATAGAACAAACATATTTTTTAATATTTGTGTATATTCTATTATTTCTAACTAGATTCACAGCCTTGTAGCTAATAAGCCTTTTATACTAAAGTAGGATTAATCTATGTCATTTTATTTAAATAAGGCAAGCAGCAATTCTTAAAGGAATAAATTAAAAAAAATAAGACATTAGCTGAACCCTAAACGAACCCTAAATCCCAGGATACCATAGCTAAATACATAAACTGACATATGTTACTGGAAACTTAAAAATTCCGACACACCCTTGGCCGCTTATCACACACTTTGTCATAATATTCATTGTCTTATTTTTCTAGGTCGAACACTGTCTTGGCAGTACAATAGCTTGATGTGCATATATTTTGTCAATTTAACACTATTCATAGAAAATAAAAAGAAAGAACTTGGTGTATCATATTTAAATGGAGGAATCTTCGATCACGAATATGACTCAAAAATTAATAATGATTTTATTTTAAGATGAAGGAAACCAGATAAGCATTTGATGGAAATGGTAAAATACCTCAAACATCTAACATCTAATCCAGATGTGCCGTCGACCTATATCTTACTATCGATATTCGGAAATATAGGACTGAAACCCAAACGCGATTAAACTACACTTTTCATCTGTGGACGGTGGTTCGTGTGTCGGCCGGAATTTCGAAATTCTAACCATCTATTTAAAGTCCAAATATTCCAGACGAAGTCCAACATGTAGTTTCAGAAAATGTTTGACACAGTGAGGATTAAATTCACAACTCATTGATTATTAGCCATTCATTATTACTGTCTGTAGTTTACGCGAGTAGTACACATTTAAATAAAACACTTTAACGATTTAAAACGCGATATATTTTAGTTAAATTTGACGTCAGACACATCCTCCATCTTTAGTCTCCCCGTGACCAAGGCTGCTGCAAAACATCCGAATTTCGGGGCAAATACCAAACAAATATAACAAATCAATGTATTGATTAATTCGTTATGTAATTAATGTATGTATTTCAGTGATCATTTTACATTTCAAAGATACAAACAGTCATTAAGTTAGTAAAATGCCATTGTTCTTTGTTGGACAGTGGGAGTGTGTGCCTTTTACACATATCGATTTTATTTACACAACTATAGTTAGATTAAACCCCTGTGTCCTGCCCGACCGAAACTACCTTCTACAGCATTTAAACCCAGGACCCTTTTTGCTAAACACGACTCTTTTCACCATGGCACTGAGGCGCGTAAAGGAAGAGCATTCTTTATTCGTATCTTCTAATTTAAGCTGTAAGCTCGTTGGTTCCACTATAGGAAGGCACAGGGCGGGTTCGATTCCCACTGGGTCCATTTTATTCAAGAATTTTTTTTGGATTTTCTAAACATATACGATTTATTGTCTTGATCATTCAATTTAATAGAAATATGAATATTAGAAATAGTTTAAATCCACGTTGTGGTTTTAGCCTGTCAATTAGCAATTGTTCAAAGTCGTAATAGGCCGATAGCACATCTTGCTTAGATGAGCTCGCATAGGGGAGAGGTAGAATGTTTCACCTTTCATCACGAAAGCTTGTCTGGTCTTCCTTGTCTTGTAAGGAAAATATAAAATCACAATTCTCATTCTGGAATCTTATTTAAAAGAATTTTACTCAACTAATAGAAAACTAAAGACAGACATCAAATAGTTTTCCAAAGAACATTTCTCTCCGGGTTTAATAAAAAACCTTTAAAAATAAAGAAAAACCATAAAAGCAGCCGTCTTGCGATGCGTTATCATTTTTATATGTCCCCCCCTTCAACCCTTTGCCACCCCCCTCCCTCCTAGATGCAGACACACACACAAAACATCTATCTATAAATGGGTTAAAGAAAAATGTGTCTACCTGAAAACGTACGATGCATGCATTTTTTTTACTCCCCCTACATTTTCTTTCCATCCGCGATTCTCATATCGCCGATATAAAACTGAAAAATACATATAAAATAAGCAAGCGAAAAGCAATCCTAAAATGCCGCCCGTAAAGTTAGGATTTCTTTGGAACCGCGCAAAAAACGGAACACCACTACAAGAAGATTTCACTCGCATACACGAAGCCGCGCCGTTTAGAAAAAAAAATAAAACACACACATATAAATTGCATGCAGTTCGAAAGGGATGCACTCAGAGTCATAAAATACGCACACAGGTGCAGAGAACACTCACACCAGCTTGGACTTTATACTGCAGACACGTAGCCACGTATGACGTCGAACACACACTAGAATATCTAAGAAAACCTTGCATGTGTTGTGGAAATGCTTTTCTTGCAACCTCTCGGGAAGAGTTTCATAGCGAATACCTCGCGGTAAAGACATCTCGTTGTTAAAAATTCAATTTTCCAAAAACCACCAAAAAAATAGAGCACTAATCGAAAAAAATTGCCCCACAATCGATCGGTTACGCCGTTCGAAATTCAAAAAACGTTCCTCACCCGTTTCGCGTTTCCAAATTCGAAGTGATAAAAAGCGTTTCCAAATGCTAACAGGTTTACGCGCCAAATTAGTGATGAGACCGATATCGATGATTTAAATAAAGATTGCAGATAATCGAAAGTTCTGATTGCATCGTTAGCGCTAATCGACACGTGGCTAGTACATTAGTGATGTTAATGTGTGCATTAATGAGTGTTTCGTTGTGTGCGTGTTCTGTCTTTGTAGATTACCGATAGGGCTGTGTTAGATGTAATGAATCATTCAACAAGGAAATCGGCGTTTTTCATCAATTTAAATATATTAGGATAAAATATTAAAAACGAAAATAAATAACTGTTTTTGTACAGGCATTTATAATCTGTTACAATCCACTTCTTGAAGTAATTTAATACATTTTATAGAATAGACAAAACCACTGAAAAGTATCTACAATTGTGGCTTATAAGAATTTCTAACAGGAAAAGTATCATACTATTAAAATTGAAAATTTAAATAAAACAAAGTTATAATCATTTTCAAATAAGTTTAACTACTATATCGCGTTTTAAACAGTCAAAGTGTTTTATTTAAATGTGTACTACTTGCGTAAACTATGGACATTATTTCAGTAGGAATTTTTTATAAAATTCCAATTAGAATTGTTGTATTGGTCTATAAATTCTATATTCAACATATAATTAGTAGATCATATACATAATTTTGTGTAAGTGAGAGTTATATAAATAATATTGTACGAAAAAACCCAAGAATTTGATTCTTGTAAAATGTATTATTGTTAATTTCAAACGTAGGCATATATGACGAGCAATTATAACTTAATATCTTACGTTTGTAATATAACAAAGGTGTGTTATGCACCTAAAAATAAGGTAATAATTTTGTCCAGACGACCTGCTCTACTTTCGATATTCTGGCCAATCAATATTTTTATTTAAAGCACTGGGCACCGTTTTACTTATAACTTTATGTCTGTAGAAAATAATTTGTATTTTCACTTACGACACACATAACGTACCAGGTAGCCTTCTCTCTTAATGGACATTTGTACTTTTCTCTACAGATGTTTTAAACTATGAAACGGTTTCGTCCTAAAATTGCACGACAAAGAAACAAACCAAATCCCTAAATAGAGACCTGTAAAGGTATTCTAAAAAGACGGTAAGTATTATGGAAATAATAAAAAAATATTCAATCGAAAAAGTTTTGTAGTTCCCCTGTAAACTTATCAGTTTTTTGGCAGTGTGTCCAAGCCGATTCATAATACTTCAAGTATTTGGAAGACGTTGGGAAAATAAACTTGTACACCGAGCATATAAACTTTTCCACGTATCAGCGATGCTATGCATTATTTATATTTTCCTAAATACTTTGATTTATGCGATGCAATCGAGAATTTTGAAAAAAGAATTTACTGGAATTTCAAAACGATGTTGGAACTAGAAACGGGCGATGACGGGTAATCATCAAGGTTAATCATAATCTTAATGATCACAACCTCAATAATAACTATATCATTTCAGTCACGGTCCAGCCACCTCCTAATCCAACGATAGTTCCTAAACATACCTAAAACTTTAATGAAGAAATATCTATTTTTGTTTTTAAATATAGACTAGATTATATTAGAATAAGTGATAGTGCCAATAATGTCTGTGACCTTATCGAATATTTACGTAAAGAAAAATTTTCCAATGAAACGCGAATACGAAGAGTTTAACGATGAGAAAGCTGAAACGAACTTCAGCGATGAAAATGAATCAAGCGATGTAGAGAACTCGCCAGATGATAGCAACAATACAGCTTTAGATTACACTGAGAACACGTTAGCATTGAATCCAGTAGCTGATTTCATTAAGAAGGAGTTCTTGCCAGATTTCGACTTCAATCCGTTTAGAAATCAGAATATTTTCAAAGATGGATTTCAGAATCGGTCACCTTTCCTACTACCGACACAGCTGTATAAGAGCTTCCTCGCAACTCTTGGGAAGAGAAGGAGAAATGTTAGCGAATGTTATTCTCTTTATTCGAGAAATATGCTGTTTTCTAATGGTTTCGGATACGAAGTTTCTGATGATGAGAATGGGGATCGAATAGCTGATTCACCGGACGAGGTATTACGAGAGAGACTTTCAGAGATATGTCAATATTCACATTAAATGTTAATGCTATTAAAACTCTTATAAGAAGCTCCAATATCATCTTGTACTTGTAAGAAGTGTGCTATCGGGTCTTATAGAAATCAGATCTTATTAGATCTGTTATGTTCTTGTTAGATTAATATGTAGAGAATTCAAATGGTTAAAAAGTAATCTTGTTCCAGAAGGCGGGTGCGTCATCAGCATTTGTGTGGAGCGGAGGGGGGGTTACCGGTGGCGGAGGGCAAGAGCAGCAGCAGCAAAGCACCGTACCAACTGGTAAGTGTAAATCTATAACTAATAAGACAAGTAAGAAAGATAGTAATTGGTACTGAAAGTACAAGAGAGGAAACTGCAAATGTGGTAGTTTGAATAAGGATAATTGCCTAATTATCAGAACTTGTGTCTACAATACACAAGTAACCACAGTTGTATATCAAATCACATAACATCTCAAATCTTAACACGGCAAGTAGTGTACTAAAAAAAAAGTTGTAAAAGTTTTAAGTTTTTAAAATTATTATTATTTAAATGAGACACTTTAACGGTTTAAAACGCGATATATTAGTTAAACTTTTTTGAAAATGATTTTTAACTTCGGCTCGACGTTTCAGGGAGACTCCCCGTGACCATGGCTGCTGCAAAGCATCTAATATATCGCGTTTTAAATCGTTAAAGTGTTTTATTTAAATGTGTTACTAATCGCGTAAACTATTTAACATTACTGTTATCACATGATATTTTTTTATAAATTAAAAATCTACACAATTTATAGGAGCAACAACACTGAGGTCGTCGGTTCGTGTTCCGCTCGTGTGTATTTTCTGTTAAATATACATTTGTAATTATTACAAATAGTAGACCTTAGTACAGACTTCTTTAGGTATAAACCTAATTTAGTTGTTCCTTTTTTCATATAATATTATTTTTAATTGCAATGCTATTTTGTTAATAATGAGATGCATATTTCATGGTTTACGTGAATATTTATTAAAACACTGTTAACGGTTTAAAACGCAAAATTTAATACTTAACATTTTTAACGACCTATTGTTTCAGAAGCTTTAACTGCAAAGCTTCTGAAACAAAACTTGGGGTTTAAACAGTTTAAAAGTATTGTCGCTTGTTATTTTTCCGGTTAAAAATAAAACCCGTATTTTTATCTTTCATGTTAACATCGGTTAATTTTATTCGCATGAAGCTCGGTTTAATTACTAATTAAATAACCATAGGTTTAAACAAAGCCTGTTAATGAGAATATATAATTAGTTGTTTCCTTTTAATGCAATAATTATAATTCACCCACCTTGTATAATATTATGCAAGCATGTGTTTTTCTGAAGTAAATTCATTACTTTCGCCGTATTATTTTAAAAAGACAGAGTGCGGACGTTGACGTCAATTTATTGCAAAAAAAAATACGATTTTTTTTACATGTCGGTTTAAGTAAAGATAACTTTAATACCTACATATGTACATATGTAGGTACGAAAACAAAAACCATAGAATAATTGTACTTAATACTGTCTATAGATTACGCGAGTAGTACACATTTAAATAAAACACTTTAACGGTTTAAAACGCGATATATTAGTTAAACTTATTTGAAAATGATTTTTAACTTCGGCCCGACGTTTCGGATGCTTTCCGTGACCACGGCTGCTGCAAAGCATCCAAAACGTCGGGCCAAAGTTAAAAATCATTTTCAAATAAGTTTAACTAATATATCGCGTTTTAAACCGTTAAAGTGTTTTATTTAAATAGTTGCAATAACTAAAAAAATGGCTTATTCGCATATAATTAAATACATATTTTAAGACATTACTAAGATTAGAACCAATTTAGCACTTAGATAAAAATTACAAAAAATATATATAGGTGGTTAGCTATTAAAAGCTCTTTGTGTGTAATTTCTACTTATATTATGTATAAATAAATATCGTTTATCGGGACTCGAACCTACGACCAAACGGAGTCCACTCTACTAGTTTTCTGATCTCCCACCAACAGTGCTGTTTATTTTCTATCAAGAGTTGTATATTTTCTTAATTATAGTAACAATAAAACCTTCAATTCCGTCTTTACCAACAGGCACATCTGGTGGTGGAGGTGCCCAAGGCCTTGTCCACTGGATGTCGGTGATGGCAGAGCACATGGGGGGAGGGCATGACCCCTCCCATTATGCTCTCCCCCCCTGGAACAACGGTGCTGTTGACGTGAGTACTATTGTAATTTATACATTGGTTTAGATAGACGTTTTGAAATTTCAGGTGACGTCGCATCTTAATAAATAAACTTAAGTTAACTAAAATTAATTTAAACGAATAATAAATTAAACTAAACATAAGTACACGGATACGAAAGCAATTAGACAGCGTTTTAACGTACAGTTTAATAAATTAAACATCGATTATAAATTAAAAAATTTACAACTCGGACAGGACTTGAACAGGCATCCACAGAGTTCCGAAAAACATCCAGTGTAACAGCACGGGACATTGTAGATGCTGGTTCAAGTTTTCCCTGAGTCGTAAATTTTTCAATTTATAATTAATACAGTTGCACATGTTAGCACGTGAAAAATATTAACGGTTTCAAACAGTTTATTAAAGTTAAAATGTATCACCATCGAATAATTTTGAAGTTACCAATCTACAGATCGCATTAAACTAACCATCGCAGATTTAGCCAAGCGCTAAACAGCGTTTAAACTATAATTACTTACACGAACTGCGGTTAATTGCCACATTATAATCTACATTAACATACACTGAGTCAAAGTTTAAGTCTATTAATTGCAGACTTTGTTAAACGGTTGTTAATTTATTCTTATCTCGGTTAACACAATGCATCTTTACGTAATCTTGAATCATTTGCAACGTGTCCGTTATTGGTTAAAGGTAATAAAACTTATTTAAAACAATATAAAACTTGTTTCGGAAACATATGGCCTAGTCTGTGGCAATACGTTAAGCGGTGAAACGGACACAGAAATATGTTCGCCCCTTGCTCCACAAAATGAGTTCCACTGACTTTTAACTCCTGAACTCTATAGATAGGAATAGACTTTTCTAAAGTGCCTCATCCAAACATACATAATTAAAAAAAAACTTTCGACGGTTAAGAACGCAATATAGGCGAGTTAATATATTTCTAAAATTGGATGATATATTTCATACTTGACGTACGTACTCACGTACGCTAGAGACATAATTATTTTTTTTTTTGTAATGAAATGAATAAATTATATTATATTGGTTGTGACATGGACGGAATATGAACCCACGACCACAGCTTTCTGACCAACTCTCTCTGTACTCCCGTACCAATTGTGTCCGAAAGTCCGAATGTCCAAGGCCAAAATAGGTCGATGACGGATCTTTTTTAGATATTATATGGCTATATTTCAACTATCATCTAGAGAACCCCATAATTGTCTGTCTTCTTTTAATTCTTCTTTGCTTTCAATTGAGCAAAATTGTGTAACAAAGGCCTCTTAACTGTAATTTACAAGGATTTTCTCACACGCCTCGTGACAAAAATGTTAAATGTCATCATTGAATTTATTCTCATACATTTGCGTATTTCTGTCATTTATAAAAATCGCGTATCGCCTACTAAATAGATCTAGTTTAGCGATTCTGAACGCATCATTAGTGCTCGTAAGGGGATAGTATAATGGAAAAATATAGTCTCTATGTACACAGCAATAAAGGCTATTTTAAGTCTAATGCAAGTTTCTTAACCCTTTTCTTATCTTATATTATTCTATATAAATGTAGATCTTATTCCGTATGGATAAGGTCTATTTTACACTCAAAAGTTTCAAGTGTATCGGATTAGACCTTAGAAGACTGTATTGTATGTTTGTGTGATTAATTTTCAATATTTCGAGTGTATTTTGCATAATCATGGGAATTTCTCTGCTCGATGACGTCATTAATTTGTGATTTTTTTTTTAATTTAATGAATTAATTAAAACAACAAAGTTATAATACTAATTTAATTTTAATTTGTTTTCATTGTAAAGATACCCAATGATAATTACAAAGGGGTGTACGGTTGATATTCAGTAGGTCCAAAAAATTTTTTTTTCTAAAACATGTTAGATTCAGGCTGAAAAAATGTGTTTGTTGAATCTATGAATAAAATCTTAATTGGAATCGGTACCACCACCCACAGATGATAAAAGTGTAATCGCGTTTCGACTTCAGTCTGTGGATTTTGTAATGTGCAAAGCTAAAACGAATCGACCATACATTGAATATGACTGGGGCAATTTACTTTTTTTTTAGATTTTTTTTAGATAGAGAAGGACAGAAGGAGTTCACTTGATCGTAGGTAAAACAGCACAGACTATACCATCTAAACAAGATGCAGTGTTGACCTACTTTGGCTTTGGTTATTGCCTTCCCTCAAGAGGACCCCGTGCTCTCCGGTCCTCTTCTATCACAAAATATCATTCTTTAAATCGTATATACATACATACATGCAACTTAAATTATTATCTACATTATCATTAGACTTTATCAAGAGATACTAATCAAACTGAAAACAACTTCGAGCAATGATAATTTTGTTCAATATTCATTAACAGACTGTACCAATTTCAGTAAGACCGGACTTTACTAAAGCATACTTATATGTTGCTAGCCTATTCGATCCCAAAGTATTCAAAGTAGTATTATCTATTTAACCCCAAAAGAATAAAACCATTACAATTATTCCCACAGAAGATTAATTTAGCAGATCAGTCAACCGCCCAAAATTGATTTAACATCATACAATACATTTCTCTACATTCACGACCTATGTCTTAATTACCCTATGTCAAAATCGATTTTTCACATCGATTTATTTGAATAAGACGAATTGTCTAGTCGATTAATCGAATCAAAGGGTTCGCTGCGTTTTGCCTCTACATGGTAGTAATCCATTGCGGGTTTTCTTAGAACACAAAAATACATATTCGCAGTGATCCGTCAATGGATTACCAGCAAGGGTAGATTTATAGGGGGAAAAAACTTCACGCTTCATTTAATAAGCAGTTATTATCTCTTTTATACGGTTTTAATTAATTTTTTTTCCAGTCTACTCACGCCATAGAAACGTTAAAATGCTTTGGGCGATTTTTTATTCCGTTACATATTTTGTTGCATGATGTTCTTTGAATAGAACATCAAACCATTATAATAAGCGTCGAAGAGCTACTGTATTGCATAAAGATCATCTAGAAATGAAACAATATTGACAATTTAAAACGCGAAGTATATTAGTTACTTTGTTGATTGTGCAACCACGGGCGGTGCGTTAATTAAAATAAGTATTATTTATACATAGTTTCCCTTTTAAATTAAAATCGAAGCCTGAAGGAATTATTACATATTCGTTTTCATCATGTCGATCAAAGAATATCGTCAACGCAGCTGATTCCAATGTCATGCCAGTAGAAAACGCGTTGTACTGGCATGACATTCGCGGTAAAATTTTCCAATTGTTGGAACCCATGGAATTTATTCACTTATTGATTTTATCTGTGGCAGTTGGCACAGAAACATAAGTTGAGGTCTCAATGCATCTCTCTGTTTTTAAAGCCATAACTTCATCCGAATAGATTCTAATTTTAATATTATAATTGTATCTAAAGATTTGGTTTTTTTGTTTGAACGCGCTAATATCAGAACTATTCGTTTGAATTCAAAAATTAGTTTTGTGTGGAAAATGGCATGTAAAGACCAATCATTAGGTTATATAATATGCTGCGATTAGGACATTAAGAGCGAAGACATAGTGGAAAATATGGAAAAATGGTGGAAATTATTCATCTTTAAGGTCTTCTTTTGCGTCCGCTGCGAAAATGGCTCGAGAATCTGAAAAAATGTGTATGATACAATGATTCCCTATTTAAATGGCCTTAAAAAATATCTGCGACAGTACAAGTCTATAAATTGAGTAAGGCTTTCACGGCCATCGATCAGCATATTATTGTCTTTCGGGCTGTTCGGCCGATGTGAGCGAGAAGAAGTTCTCCTCGATTGCAATCGAGGAGTCAACATCTCCTGAAGATGCCGTCCACACGTGATGGTGAAACGTCGAGAACTTCTTCTCGCTCACATCGGCCGAACAGCCCGAAAGACAATAATATGCAGTACAAGTCTATCTTTTAAGATTAACTCCCAAGAGCCGTTTCTATGGTAATAAAATTTGGGCGAAATAATGCATTATTACCAATTATTTGTTATAGTTCTATTGACAGTATAATAATTTAATTAACAAATAGAAAGTGGATTGAAAAAATTTTCGTCTCGGGAAGGACATGAACCGACATCGTCAGCGTTCCGTGCTGTTGCTCTACCAATTGAGCTACCGAGTCCTACACCTCATCGTCGAATTTTTTCAATTTATTTTCGATTTTTAAATTATATAGTGCCTTCATGAGCAATAACAAGTAAAAAATAATAAAGTTTTCAAACATAATAATAATCTTGCAAACAAAACATTTGGATCTAGTTGTTACTAAAACAATTATCTAACAACTATATCAGCCATTCAGTGTACCCGAACTGTAACAATGGCTCGATCACACATCTACGGTGTCCACAATTTTGACAGCCGGGAGACCGGTCTGGGAAGATTAATGGATGCTCTACTCATCGCAGTAATGACGCCCTCTTCGTGCGGTCTAATGACACCGAGAATAGGGTGACCGTGATGTTCGGTATTTTAGGATATCTAGGATTGTATTTTTAGGACTTTTTTTGATAGAGGAGGACAGACAAGCATGTGGTTCATTTGACGGTAGGTGCAATACTCCTGCCATATGTGCTATCGACCTATTTTGACTTTGTGTATTCGGAATTCTACAGACTAAAACCGAAACGCAATTAAACTAGGCAACTTTTCCATCTCTGAACGATGGTTCGTGACCTAAACGTAATTTTTATATTACTACCACCTAATATCTAGATTTACAGATGAAGACCATACGGCCATGTAATCAGTCCGCATAATCTGTAAACCGATCAACAAATTTCCATATTTCCGCCCTACAGAGAACTTTGGGTTGTCCAACTCTCACTTGATCGATACAAACTTTCTAGTTTGCTTGCCAAATCAATATTCACACCTAACATAATTCTCAAATGAGGGTAACTCTACATTTGTTTTTTGGGTTCTAGAAGTACAAAAAACATTTTTAAATGTAATTTTAAAAGTCATTTTGCAAGTACTTTTGATGTTGAATTTGTTTCGTTTCTCGAAAATGTATTTTGGCATTTATAATCAAACATGGAAGTGTTCTCAACTCAACTTCCTAACACTACAAAAGTAATATAATACGACAAATCTTATTATTTTAACACATAATCTGTATTGCAACAATGCAAGAACTTTGTATAGGTAAATCACTTAATTGATATGTTGAACCACTATTTATACGATGACGAGTCAATCAAAAGACCGCTTTGATTAGACCTTTTGACCTTGGTGTTAGGTAAACAGAATTATAATTAAGGTAGCATTAAGTTGTATCTATTTGTTTTCTGTTCGTTTCTATTTTGTTATATTGCGTGTTGCATTAATCTATAAAAATATGGTTTATTTTGGGTAGCCTATCCTGCTTGTTGGCGTCCTTTCCTGTATGTGATAATCCTTTGTAATTTTTACCTTAATTTTATAAGTCTTTTTTTAAATTCATATTATATATAGTGTTTAAATGTTACGTATCTATTTTATATAACTAACGATTGAAAACTTTATATAAATTAAAAATCTATTTATATTTAATTAAATCCGACACTCGGGAGACCTGAACTGGCATCGATAATGCTTTAACTAATGCTGTACCATGTAACTTTATAGTAAATGTATAGTTTTAACGGTTTAAAATGCGAAATATCTTAATGAACTTATTTTAACTACAACCCTTGTCACTGTTTTTATGTATAAACTATAGTTGTTTCGAAATAAATCTTATCTGTATGAAGTTTTAAATGTCTAGTCAAATTTGTAAATGAAAATAAATTAAATATATTAGTTAAACTTGTTTACAAATTGTTCTTAATCTTACGCGATGACTCCGTAAGTCAATTATACGATCCAGCCAGTTTCACTAAATTCGAACCAGGACGGAACAGATGGCGCTAGCCTAGAAGTATTCACTTTGACATTAGAGACACGCTCCATCTTAAGCCTCCCCGTGACCACGACTGCTTTATAGCATTCGGAACGTCCGGCCCTACTTAAAAATAATAATATTTTTACTACTTGCATAACACACACACTACAGACAGTATGTACTTATATATATATCTTATAAATCCATGGTGTAGTAGGGTTAAAACAAATATACACGTAAAAGACTAACACACGGTATTTTCAAATACCGTGTGTTAGTCTTTTACCGTCTAGTCCCAGAAGATCCAAACGCATGGCCACCGAGCATCCTTGGTTAATGTCTTTGCCGTAACGAAAAAAAGCCTGGCATGTTTATCTTGGCCGAGACGCGGACTCGTTGCGAATTGCCCCAAGTTTCCCCTAATCGATTTTGGCCGGGACAAGTCTAATTTGGTGGATTAATCGCGGACACCCTAGCGTTCTAATTTCCTTGTTTATTGTAAACGATAATGCGCTTTGTCCTATTGTTATTGCGTACTCGCCAAATGTAGTCGAAACCGTGAAACAGTCACAATAGTTGGTAGAAGTTCACTTGATGGTAGGCGAACACTAGCTCCACATCTAAGCAAGATGAGATGTGGACTTATGTTTGCGATATTCGGATAGTTTAGTAATTGTTTGTGAAGCTAAGTCACAGCTATTCTGAAAACCAGTGTTGTAATGCTCAGATAAAACCTATTCAGATAGCTAGTAGAGGTATCCTGTATACCTCTACTAGCTGTTGCCAAACATTAAATTTACCTATGCAAATAATAGTCATTGTTATAAAACGAAATTTAGATTCTAACAAATTTGAAGAAGTATTTTTTGACATACAAAGTAAATAGCGTAAAAACTCTTAAATTAACATATCTTTTCATGATTTTAAAACTAGTGGACTCGCTTTGTGCTTGTCAAGGATGTTTATAGCTATAGTCAATTTTTTTTATGATATAGGAGGGCAGACGCGCAGAGGTCCGTTTGATGGAGTGTGCTATACTCCAGCCACATAACATTTCAACAAGATGCGCTGTTAGCCTAGTTTTGTACCCACAGATTGAAACTGAAGCGCGATTAAACTTCACAGCTTTATCTTTGGACGGTGGTTCGTGATCTGGACAAAATTTCGATATTCCTACCACCCATTCAATATCTACGTCGTCACAGCATCTAAAACATCGGGGCGTAGTTCGTAAGTTTAACTAACATTTTTCGCGTTTTAAACCGTTAAAGTGTTTCATATGTGTGCCATCAATTAGCTATATTTATTTTTAATAACTTTTCGTAATAGCTCACGTTTGTCTTGCTAGTGTAAAATAATAAAAAAAAACAAACAAAAGCTATTTTGAGACAGCACTGGTGTAATAAATAAAGTATATGGAGCACAACCCGAAGGATTTGAAGTTTTACGAAGGTGGAGAACGGTGCAATAAAATGGCGAAACTATTTTATTGTACTAGGATACCAGGAACGCACCAGCGGTTATGAAGTCGAAGTGATGAGGGGCTCTTTCAAGGTTCTATCAGACATCGAGAGTTGCTTCTTCATTTTGATTAGTATCCGTCTTTTTGAAAGTCGGGAGTTTGACCCATTTTTACCTATTAATTTTTTCCTTTATTATATACTAGCTGGTGCCCGCAAATTCATCTACGCAGGTTTAGTATATGGAGTAGCTTATATTAGCGTGGCGTAGACAAGAACTAACATTATGACATAAATATGTGTAAATTTTCAAGTTAATCTTAAAAGATAGATCGCTGAGATATAGCATCGCTGACCATTTAAAGGGAAAGAATTCTTTCTTACACAATTTTTCGCGCAATAGTCGCAATGTGATATAGCCTATAACCTTCCTATTATATTATATTATATTATATTATATTATATTATATTATATTATATATATTATATTATTTTATTATATTATATTATATTATATTATATTATATTATATTATATTATATTATATTATATTATATTATATTATATTATATTATATTATATTATATTATATTATATTATATTATATTTTATTTTATTGGATTTTGGCTCAGGGTCGTCAATACTAACCGGACAAATCACGTCAATTTATTAAACGACTGGTTTAAACGATAAGTTTGAATCATTATTGTAAAAATTCGTTTTAAACAAAATTATGTTTTATTGAAAAAAATACGACCTAACTAATGAAAATTACAAGTAGAAAATTCACCCCATGCCCCACAGGGGAAACGTAACTGCGTTTCCCTTGTGGGACATGGGGTGAACATATTTCTGTGTCCGTGTAACCGATCAATTCTTTTTACAGGAATGTATTGTCAGACAATTGTCAACAACAGAATTCTGTATAACAAATACCAATTCTTTATTTTTCTGAGACGAACCCAGTACCTCTCAAGCTTAACGTAATGCTAAGCAACACTAAGCATTTGGCTGTAAAGGCGTTTAAAAGTATAGGTTTTTACCAATAACGGTTTAAAATCAATCAACACTCCTGCGCAATAAACCTTGAGCGGGTTCTTGTACTTGACCAGTGAAGCAAATCTTTCTATTGTCCAGTAAGCTTATTTAAGTAATAGAAACTACATTTTCTTTAGAAACCTCAATCTTTTGGTAATCTATGCATAATTATTAACTGATCTATAGAATAAAATGGCCTTTTATCAATACTAATACTGTAAAGCTGAAGAGTTCGTTTGTTTGATCGCGTTGATATCAGGAACTACTGGTTCAAATTCCTTTTGTGTTGTTTAGAGCATTTATCAAAAAAGGCTATAGAATATTACGCTGTGACCAAATAGGAGCAAGGAAATAGGGGAAAATGTGAAAAAAGGGGAAAATTATTCGTCTTTAAGGGCTTCCGTTGCGTTGCGGAAACCATTTACCAAATGGAAAAACTATTCTTCGATTCTTCTTTCAATAATATAAAAAAAGTCTGTCACAGTGTACGTCTCTTAAAACTTAACTACTCGCAATAACGACGGAACGCGGACGACATCGTGGGTAATGGCTAGTATTGAAATATATCCATAATATGAGTATTGATAATAGTATCTAGCTCGCTTTTACAGTTTACTAAAGAGACCGTTTCCGCCTGTGTTTTTGAAGTCAATAAAAACTTGTTCTTTTAAATGACATTATGATAGAAAAGGACAAATAAGATTATCTGTCATTTTTCAAATCCAGTCATATCTAAACAAGAAGCGCTGTCTAACTATTATGGTATTGGATATTTGGAAATCGTACGTGGACGTAAATAAGAAGGGGTTTTCGACGTTTCGCCATCACGATGGCACGGCATCATCGGGAGACATTAGCTCCTTGATTGCTCGTTGTATTAGATTCTAATCCTTCGAGCAATCGAGCTGGCCGACGACCATGAAAGCCTTACACAATTTACGAGAATAATATTATTAACTATACATTACTGACAACAAGCAAAGCACTATAGAGAAGTTTTAAAAAATCTCTGAACCACTGCGAAGTGCGAGACCCTTTGAAATTAAAAAAAAATGGCTTCCCCATGGCGCTTATAAAAAAAGGAAAGACTAT